CTACTAAACATCCCCATTCAGATCTCTTTTTGCAGTTTAGTGGCTAAAAGCCCAGAGCCAGGGGCACGGGGTACCTGGGTTCAAATCCCACCTCCCCTTTTTGCTAACTAGATGGTCTTATGCAAGCAATTCATCTTTGGCACCTCAGTTTCCTCATGTAGAAAATGGGGCTAAAGAATAAAAAGGGCAAAAGTGGTTGGTGGATTTGAACGGCTGACCTGTGGATTGGGCAGCACAGCTGCCTAGTCCACAGTGCCACCAGGGCTCTCCTTAAGAGGGCTGACTGAAAATGATAGTCACAGTTATGATTTATGAGAGAGAAAGGATACAGATTAAAGCAGCAAAACAAAGAGGTGCATGGGGCAGGGTCCAGGGGAGACTAGGTGCGACATTACAGTTGTCCTCACCCAGGGGAGTATTGCCACTCAAGGAAGCTCCTCTAAGCTCAAGTTTCTGGACTTCTACGGGGGTCAGTCACATAGGCTTGGCTGACCACCCACCCGGCGGACCATCCACCCCGCTGAGCTTAGTCTCCAGCCCCTTCAAAAGTCAGACTGTTGCCTGTAACCTAAGAACTGCCACACATCACAAGGTTAATACACAGACCCGCTCTTTCTCAGGGAAAAGACAGGCCTTTCTACTCCCATCCAGAATGTCAGCCTCGGAAACCCACAGAGCAGCTCTACCCTGTTCTAAGGGTCACTAGGAGTAGGATGTTTGTTTTGTTTTTTAAATCTCCTCAAGGAGATCTGGTGGCATGGTGGGTTAAGTGTTGGGCCGCTAACTGCAAGGTCGGGGGTTCTAACCCACTGGACAGTTGAAGGGAGAAGGAGGAGACTCCTTGCTTCTGCAAAGAGTTACAGCCTCAGGAATACGCAGGGGCAGTTCTACTCTGTCCTACGGAGCCACTGAAGGATTTATTTTCTATCTTTCAAATGAAGATTCGCAATGGACCGGCCATCTCTTGAGGAAGCATAGAGTAGCTCAATGGTTTAGACGGTGTGCTCTAGAGCCACGCAGACCAAATTCGAATCCCAGCTCCCCTGCACACTGGCTGTGTGACTTTGGGCGGGTCCCTTGTAACGATCCCAGGAGCGCTGGTGGCAGTAACGAATTGGGCTGCTAACCTTAAGGTCAGCAGTTCTAAACCACCAGGCACGCGGGAAAGAGATGGGCTTTCTACTACTGTAGTTAGTCTCAGAAACCCACAGGGTCAGTTCTACCCTGTCCCTATAGGGGCGCTATTGAGTGGACAGTGACCCCGGAGAATTGAGTTTGCAGTTCTTGGGGTCATGGCGTTTAAGTGAAGATGCAGGCACAAATTGCTTAGGACAAACCCTAAAGGTTAGGCTCTCCGGGGTGACCTCTGCCGCACTCATGACCCCTGCCCTCTGCCCTCTTGCCCTCTCCAGACATCTCGGTGAGCCTGCTGTCCGTCATCGTGACCTTCTGTGGCATCGTCCTCCTGGGAGTCTCCCTCTTCGTGTCGTGGAAGTTATGCTGGGTGCCCTGGCGGGACAAGGGAGGCTCCGCTGTGGGCGGAGGCCCCCTGCGCAAAGACCTCGGGCTGGCAGGCTTGGTTGGCGGAGGCGGGCACCACCTGGGGGCTGCCCTCGGTGGCCATCCTCTGCTGGGCGGCCCCCATCACCACGCCCACACGGCCCACCACCCGCCCTTCGCCGAGCTGCTGGAGCCGGGCGGCCTGGGAGGCGCGGACCCCCCGGACCCCTCCTACCTGGACATGGACTCCTATCCGGAGGCGGCGGCCGCCGCGGTGGCCGCTGGAGTCAAACCCAGCCAGACGTCCCCGGAGCTGCCCTCGGAGGGCGGCGCCGGCTCCGGGCTGCTCCTGCTGCCCCCGAGCGGCGGGGGCTTGCCGAGCGGCGGGGGCTTGCCAAGCGCCCAGTCTCATCAGCAGGTCACCAGCCTGGCACCCACCACCACCACCACCAGGTGCGAGGGAAGATGGGCGGTTGGGCGTCCACTCTGAACGTTTGCCTTTCCTCTGTGCCCGTTTCCCCATCTGTGGCTCTCCCCAGGGCCTGGGGAGGGTCTGAGCCCCGAGTCGGGCAGGATGGGATTTGGGGTGTGGACATTGGCTGGTTGGGTGGTTGGGGGTCCACTCTGAATGCTCTTCCTCTATGCCCATTTCCCCATGTGGCCACCCCAGGGAGCGAGAGAGAGAGAGAGAGAGAGGTGGCTGGTGTCTCTGAGTCAGCCCTAGGGTTTCAGGATAAGGAGAGGTGAGGGGTCTGGATGCCTGAGTTTGAAGGAGGCTGGGGGCCTGTACTTCAGGGTCTAAGAGAGGAGGAAGGTTGGGACTCAAGCCCCCTGGGTCTGATGGAGGAGGGAAGTGGGGTTCAGGGCTTCAGGGTCTCAGGAAGGAAAAGCCTGGGGGTTCAGACTTCAGGATTTGGAGGTGAGATGAGGGTTGAACCTCTGAGTCCTTGGGGCATGAGACAGTTCCTCCCTTTAAATGAGCCGGGAGCCCAGGAGGGACTGCCCGTGGCCCTGTTCATGATTCCCATTCTCCCTGTGCACGTACTGGGTTCCGGACCTCCCCCAAGAAAGCAGATGTGGCCAGAGATCGCTCCCTAGCGGATCACGCGCACCTTTTGGTTTCCCATAGGAAAGTTTTGCTAACACTACACTCCCCTAAGGAGCCCCGGTCAGCAAGCTTAGCAGTTCGAACCCACCCACCGCTCCAAGAGAGAAAGACGAGGCTGTATGCCCTCATAAAGACTAACAGCCTCAGAAACCCACAGAGGCAGTCCTACCCTGTCCTTCAGGGTCCTCTCGAGGGGTGTGGACTCAATGGCAGTGAATTTGGTCTGGTTTGGAATTTGATGACACGCAGGAACAGCGGGAGGAGGGAGTCCCTGGGTCCGCACGAATGGTTAGGTGGCAGGCTGGCAGTGGAAACCCAGCCAGAGGTGCCCAGAAGAAAGGCCTGGTGATTGGCCTCCCAGATGCCACAGCCCCGGACACCCCAAGGGCAGCACAGTTTCTCTCTGCACAGAGGGGTCGCCGTGAGATGATGACATCCACTCCACAGAAAGTGGTTGAGTATTTTGGTCCTGGTCCGGTTTGGTTAGGAGCCCTGGTGGCATCGTGGGCTATACACTGGGCCGTTTGAAAACCCCAGCCATCCCACGGGAGAAAGAGGAGACTTTCTATTCCTGTAAAAAGTTACGGGAAACCCACAGGGGCAGTTCTACCCTGCCCTGTAGGGTTGCTATGAGCAGGCATGAACTTGAGGGTAGTTGAGCATTAGAGAGCATTGATCTGGTCTGGTCTGGCATGAAGCCCGAGCTGTGTGGCCTAGGAAACAGCGGTGCGATCGTCACTGCCCGGATGTTGTTGCTCGCTATCCAAGGAGGTGCGTGGTCTGCTGATCTCATCAGGCCAGGTCAAAGCTGCAGACGCCAGCTGAGGGAGGGACCCTCAGGAGGCAGCCGTCTCTAGTGGAAAGCTGTCTCTGGGAGACTCGGACTCGCCACTGCCGGTGGCGGTGTCCCCGCCGAGACCCAGAGGTCAAGGAAGTTAACCAGGCCCAGAGGTGTCCGTGTCAGCGGTGCTCGTGTACGTCAGTGTTCAGCCTGTGCAGAGGGGAGAGCTGGGAGTTCCGGGCAGGAGGGTACCTTCGTGCAAAGGGGAGCATAGTGCATTCTGGGAACCGTCGTTAGGAGGGCTCAAGAGTAAGTTCGAAAAGAGCACTTTGGGAGATGAGACTGTGAATGGGGATGGGGGTGGGGGGATATGCAGACCATAAAGAGCCCTGAGCCCTGGGCTCAGGAGCCTGGGTTCATCCTGAGGGTACTGGGGAGCCATGGAAGGGCTGTGATGGGGCAGGATGGAGTCAGTGCTGGGTATGAGGCCTCAGGAGAGATGGCCCCAAGAGGGAGAGAGGCTGTGCAGCGGCTGTAGGGACGGAGGTGGGAGGATCTCTGGAGGGGCAGTCAGGAGAGAGGCAGCGGTTTGTATATGGGCAGAGCAGAGAGGGAAGAGGTGAGGATGCTGCCTGGGAGTCTGGCCGGGTGATCACCTGCAAATCTTCAGGGCAGTAGAACGTGTCTTCTTGCCTCCAAGTATCAGCTGGTGGGGTGACCTTGCAGTTGACAGCCCAACCAGTGAGTCACCAACTACCTCTCCAGGGCTCCCTAGGGAGGTCGCTAGGATAAAGCCATCGGGTCACTTGGAGTCAGAATAAACTCCATGGCAGTGGGTCTGGGCTTTCTTTTTCTTTCTTGGTGGATTTGGGGAGAAGCTCTGGTGGTACAGTGGCTAAAACACTCAGCTGCTAACCGAAAAGTCAGCAGTTCGAACCGACCTGCTTCCATAAACAGTCAAAAAAGAAAAGAAAATGAAGAAACGCAAACCCACTGCCATCAGGCTCTTTCTGACTCTGGGAAACTCAGACTCGCGTTTCCGCCACTGTCCACCGTTACCGGGGCAGCCGGCCTCCTCTTTCTCCCTTGGAATGGCTAGTGGGTTCAAACTGCCCTCGTTTTCATTGGCCACTGAAGGCTTTACCTCCCTGCACCCCCAGAGCTCCTTGAGAAAGAAGGGTCAAGCTGGATTCACTGCCAACTGCCCCAGTGGGTGTCTCTTTTATTTATTTTATTTTCAACAGTTTTATTGACATCTGCCCATCTATACAATTCAGTAGTTCAGTCAGAGTCAGAGAATTGTCCAATCATCAGCACAATCAGTTTTAGAACATTTTCTTGGTTGTTGTACTCATCATGATTAGCTCCCCAGCCCCCCACCTCCCCTGCCACGTCTCCAAGGAAGCATGGATCTAGTTACTGTCTCAGTCGATTTATCTATCCTGGATTTCCTATACAGAAAACATGCAAAACCCAACCAACACAGGAACTAACTAACTAACTAACTAACTAACTAACTAACTAACTAACTAACTAACTAACTAACAAGCATAGCAAAGCCAAACAGATCAAAACCTTAACCGAAAAGAAAGCAGAAAATATTAAAAACCAGAACAGATTTAAATGGATCCTAAGGGAGATCAAATGACCAGGCACTAAATTTAGCCTTCCTGCATCTGCAACAACCCACTTCTAATGCATCCTGGACCTGCGCAAGGCGATTCACATCCCTGGTCCAGGGCCAGAGGGGATTCACCAGGGGCTAACCCCACTTGCCTTTTGGGAGTAGCGAGCCTCAGCTGTCTCCCACGGAGCTGCTGGTGGTTTTGAACTGCGGACCTTGCAGTTAGCAGCCCAACGGGTCACCACTGTGCCATCAGGGTTCATGTGGGAAGAAGGAAGGAAGGAAGGATGGATGGAAGGGGAAATTCTAGGCTAGGGGGGAAGAAAGGTCACGTGGGTGAGGTTGAGGCCTGAGCTGGGCCCAGGGCTGTGGGGACACAGGATGGAGGAGGAGTGCTGAAGAGATTTCAGAAAGGGTACATGGTCTACGCTGTGTAAGGAGTGGGTTACCTTATGGTCAACGGTTCAAGCCCACCAGCCTCTGCGAGGGAGAAAGATGAGTTTGCTCCGGTAAAAGAATTACAGCCTGTATATGCAGAGAGTCACTAAGAGTCAGAATCAACTCCATGGCAGTGGGTTTGGTTTGGGGTTTATTTGGTGCTGTGTGGGGTCAACAGTTCGAGTCCAGGAGGAGGCCTCTGCAGGGGAGCACCCTTTCCTGCCTGCAGATGGGCAAATGGTTACTTCGAAGTTGCTCAGTGAGTGAGGGTGGCAGTTGGGGAAGAAGCATTTGGAGGCGGGGAAGCTGACGCCACTTCTGTCTCCCAATACACACACCCCTGAACCCCATCGCAGGTACCCGGCCCTGCCTAGGCCTCTCACCCAGCAGACGCTGACGCAGCCGGACCCGGGCAGCGAGGAGCGGCCGCCTGCCCTGCCTGTGCCCCTGCCGGGCGGCGAGGAGAAGGCCAAGCTGATCGGGCAGATCAAGCCCGAGCTGTACCAGGGCGCTGGGCCGGGCGGCCGCAGGGGCGCCTCCGGGGCGCCGGGCTCCGGCGAGGCGGGCGCGCCATGTGGCCGCATCAGCTTTGCGTTGCGCTACCTCTATGGCTCGGACCAGCTGGTGGTGCGCATCCTGCAGGCCCTTGACCTCCCCGCCAAAGACTCCAACGGCTTCTCCGACCCCTACGTCAAGATCTACCTGCTGCCCGACCGCAAGAAGAAGTTTCAGACCAAGGTCTGGGCCGCGGGGAGCGAGCAGCTGCGGGTGGGGGGCTTCTGGGCCTGGGAGCAGGACTCCTGGGCCAGACGGAAGAGGGGCCTTAGGGGCAGGACTCCTGGGTCAGCTGGAACAGGGGGCTTAGGGTCAGGACTCCTGCTCTGAGGGAGGAGGGGCTTAGGGGCAGGACTCCTGGGTCAGATGCAAGAGGGGGCTTAGGGTCAGGACTCCTGCATCAGATGGAAGAGGGGCCTTAGGGGCAGGACTCCTGGTCTGAGGGAGGAGGGCTAGGGGTCAGGATTCCTGGGTCTGAGGGAGGAGGGTTCTGGGACTCCTGGGTCTGACGGAGAAGGGCCGGTGGGCATAGCGTCCGCCCCTCTCCACCCTGCCAGGTGCACAGGAAGACCCTGAACCCCGTGTTCAACGAGACCTTCCAGTTCTCGGTGCCCCTGGCCGAGCTGGCGCAGCGCAAGCTCCACTTCAGCGTCTATGACTTTGACCGCTTCTCGCGGCACGACCTCATCGGCCAGGTGGTGCTGGACAACCTCCTGGAGCTAGCCGAGCAGCCCCCGGACCGCCCGCTGTGGAGGGACATCGTGGAGGGCGGCTCGGTCAGTGCCCACAGTCCTGCCAGCCCTTAAGCGGGAGCCCAAACTCCTTGGTTTGCAGCCCCCACCCCCACCCCCTATTTCATAACCTTCTAGCGGCAGGTCCCCTGGAGTCCTTTTGCCTTTTAAGCACTGGCCTCATGGAGACAACGAGGATCCCTGGTAATCTAGTGGGTTATGAGGCACGGCACTGCTAACCCTTGAGCTCAGCAGTTCAAAACCCACGCCGCTCCGTGGAAGCAAGATGAGGCTGTCTGCTCTGGCAAAGACTGACAATCCCGGAAAACCTCAGGGGGGTGGGGGGGTGTCTCTCTTGTCCCCTAGGATCCCTCTGAGCCGGAATGGACTTCATGGCTGGGAGTTTGGTTTTAGCAGGTTGTTTATTAAGACAGTCCTATTGTCGGCATCCTCGCTAGAATAGGTAATGAGGTCATGGACAGCCATGCCCACGCCCCTCGTGATAAATATCAGCACTATGCCTTAGCCACCCCCTTCTGAGGTCCCTGGGTGGACACAAACGCTTGGTGTTTGGCCGCTCACCTAAAGGTGGATGGTTCAAACCCACCCAGCGGCACCCCGGAAGAAAGGCCTGATGATCTATCTGCTTGGGTAAAGCCGACAGCCAAGAACATCCTATGGAGCAAGTGCCACACTGTTGCCCGCGGGGGTCACCGTGAGTCAACCCTGGAGGGCAGCAGGTCTGGTTTTATCTGTTTGGTTGGTTTTTAACTTAATTAATTATCTTTAACTCCCTTCGACTTCTGATAAGGAGCCCAGGTGGCTTAGTGGTGACACGCTGGGCTGCCAACCCCAACGTTAGCGGTTTGAAACCGTCAGCCGCCGCGTGGGAGAAAGGAGAGGCCTTTCCTTCCGTAAAGAGTTGCAGTCTCGGAAACCCACAGGGGCTGTTCTACCTGCCCTGTCAGGTTGTCATGCCTCAGAGGTGACCCAATGGCAGGGGGGTTGGGGTTTGGGGACTTCCGATAAAGGAACTCCCCGCGGTGCACCTGGGAAGGGTTGGGTGGCTCACCTCAGGGTGAGCAGTTCAAAACCGCCAGCCCCTCCTCAGGAGAAAGATGAGGCTGTGTACTCCACACCCAGAGTGACAGGCTTGACAACCCCCGAGGGCAGGGAGTTTTTTCACTTCCGACCAAGGGACTCCTGGTAGAACATGGGTTCCGTGTCGGGTTGCTCACCTTAGGGTTAGCAGTTCAAAACCAGCAGCTGCTCCCAGGGACAAAGATGAGGCTGTCTGCTCTGGGCAGACTGACAGCCCCAGAAACCCATGGGGCCAGTTCTACTCTGTCGTGTAGGGTGTCTAGGAGCCAGTGCGTTTGTTGGTGTCATTGTCAGGTGTCATTGAATCGGTTCCGACTCACAGCAGCTCCACAGACACCCCCCTCTTGCACCCACCTCACAATTGTTCTTCGGTTTGAACCCCTCAATGCAGCCATGGCGTCAGTCCAGCTCCTTGCGGGCCTTACTCTCTGTCGCTATCATGCTACTCTCCCAAGCACGATGTCCCTCTCCGGGGACCGGTCTCTCCTGACAACCTGTCTAACGTATGTGAGACCAAGTCTCGCCATTCTTGCCTTGAAGGAGCCCTCTGGCCGTACTTCCTCCAAGCCCGGTTTGCTCTCTTGGCAGTTCCTGGTGCTTGCCATGTTCTTCTCCAGCGCCATAATTCAACCGCACCGATGCTTCTAGGGGCCCCCATAGTCAATGTCCAACTGGCACACGTGTCGGAGGCGACTGGAAATAACCGGGACTCTGGTCAGGCGCCCCTTAGTCTTCAAAGGAACAGCCTTGCTTCCCCATAGTTTAATGCAGTCTCCTGTGGCTGATTCACCCCAATGCAATGCAGTCGTTTGACCTCTCGATTGTTGCTTTCTCTGCGCATTGATTGTGGTTGGGCTTATTGGCAAGCACCTGCCCATCGGCTGGCTGCCTGCGATCTCAACTCCCGCCTCCATCTCTGACTTCTGCTTTCTGACCACCTCCCCC